TATGTTGCTGTTGAGGGCATTCGCTCACTGCTGTCAAGTTCAAACTTTCTGACCAACATGTTAGCAAACCTTTGTAGGATTTGATCCAGGATCTCAAATCCAACTCAAAATTCTTACCACTTCAGAAGCACCCAGACAACACTCCAAATCCGCCACGAAAAAGAAACGCCGTGGACTGCCGTTCTGCCGTCTCATCGTGTCTCATGTGTGGCGGCCACTGGACGGCCCGTCCGTCAGCCCACCTTCCGTCCGTCGAGGACGGCCGCCAGCTTTTGCTACCTGTGCGAAGTGGATCGCATCAATGGTCGCTCCACTGTGCTGGAGTCCAATTTGCTTCAGAAGGGCTACAGTGGCTCCATCAGGCTGCGGAAGGAGGAGCTGGGGGAGGAGCTGGGAGCTGGCAGGGTGGAGGAAGTAGCGTTTTTTTTTGGGGGGGAAAAGTGACCAGCAGGTGACATGACATGGGGATTTGGCATGGGATCGGACTTGATACTGAAAGGAAGCAGTCCGGACCCAAAGCAATTCCTTTCCATTTTCACCAGATGCTTAGGGTTGCTTTTTTTGTTATCCTCACCTCGCTGAAGACTATTCTCCATGGTTGGTAGAGGAAAGTTGGACTCAGGGTGCCAAAACCAACCCGATTCGCGAGAGACCTCGCCTGTCGACATCGGGGCTTGTCGGGCGCATCGCCTGTTGCATGTTCTTTTTCGACTCTGATCACAGTGAACGGAGTATACACTCACCAGTTAGTTCGGGAGTCGTGACTCTTCAGCTGTATTCTGGGCTATCCACACACCGTTTGTGGTTCGGTGTTCCGAATCTCGGACCACCCAAAGTCACTTGAAAAAGCAAAGATGCTTCGCCCAGGACCTGGTGAAATTGGTGTGTCTCTTTTCTTGGTCTTCACCGGGTCAATATCTACATGTTACCCAGCAACCAGCCAACCAACCAACCAAGCAACCAACCACTAAATCCTCTTGATCTCATGTTGGCCAGCAGTGAACAAACATTGTTGCATGATTGCGGCCAAGGTCGGCATATACGAAAAAACCAACACCCCACCGACTCCGTAGCTAGCAGCTAGCAGCTAGCAATTCCTGTGGACCATCTACAAACTTATGTTTGGTGTCTTTGTTGATGGATATGTCCATAAATCATGCAGGGGCACATTGAAAGGACCTCGTCCTTTCAGGCTTTGGACCGGTGGTTGACCGGTTTGCTGCATCAGTCGCTGCTGCGCACGTGTCTGATACTCAGGCACGCGCAGTGCTCCGAGCCAGCAGATGCCGCGAAGATCGAAGCAGAGATCGGAGAGAAGGTTTTGCACGTGGATTATGCCATCCATGTCTTGTTGTGACTTGATAAGTTCATTGAAGGGCGGAGTGGTGCGGAGTGTATTCTTTTTCAGCACAAGCCTCCTTCAGTAGATTCTCTTTTCCTAACTGTTTTTTTGTTGGTGATCAATCATCCATAGTTAGGTGGAGCGAGCTGAATAGTTGGCAACACCTTTGAAGCTCGCTCATGGAAGGGGCTCGAGTTGCAAGCCGAGCTCACCATACATAGAGAGAGTATTTCTCGGATTGCTACCACTAAATCACATGCCAGCACTCCCAAACACAGCAACAGGCCATGCATGTTTTACTACTACTACGACTACTACTACTACTACGACTACTACTACTACTACTACTACTACTACTACTACTA